TTATATAGGGGATATATGATATCGTGGACCTATATAGACAATTCTCTTCCAGGGGGTAATGTACTCACAAGGAACTACTTTCGTGGATTTTAAGACAATACCATTTAAAAATTTGCTTAAAATCATCCTCAAAATAACAAATATCTGAGGGTTCCTTTATATGGGGGCTATACGATATGGAGGAGCTATATAGACATTTCTCTCCTAGGGGATAAGGTACTCACAAGTAACTTCTTGTGAGAATTTTCAGACAATTCCTTTGAAAAATGTGGTTAAAATGATCAAAATACCGAATGTCGGAGGTACCGTTATTTGGGGCTATACGATATCGCGGTGCATCGGTCCCATCTGGCAGACAAAAGACAGATTTGTGCAACATTTTAGCTTCCTATTTTAATTCGTTTTGACTCTATCGTGATTACAACAGACGGACCGGCGGACAGAGCCCAATCCCACTCCGGCCGGTTCTATGTACCGGATTGACTCGGAGGCACATTTCTCCGACTAGGGGCCGCCAACCCAGCAAATACATGTTCGTGTTCGTCCATTTTTCTGATGTGGGAGCAACATTACCCGGAATGTTTGCTCCGTATTCTCTTGGTCCGAGCCGGGATCGAGACCACTGCGAGGAATATGAAGATATCCGCCACTAAGTCGACGGCCACACTTTTCACCACATGGACTGCGGAGATGGGGCTATCCTTGAATGTGCAGGTCAATGGTGCTATTATTCCTACCACCAACTACCCCAAGGTATTAGTGGTCACATTCGATAGCCTCTTTAAGTCGTCCGGGCATACCACAGCTATCTGCGACAAGATTAGAAGTAGGAACAAGGTCCTCAAGTCTCTGGCCGGCAGTACTTGGGGAGCTGACCTCTTACAACGCGATAGGCCGGTCTGTGGTAAACTATGCGGCTCCGGTGTGGTCCGCCAACGTCAGTGCTACGCAGTGGAAAAATGTTCAGTCCTGCCAGAATGCCGCCCTTAGAACCGCAACAGGGTGCCTTCTCATGACACCTGTCGATCACCTACATGAGGACGCGAAGGTCTTGCCGGTGCTGTCAATGCAATACCTGCTTGGGTGTTATAGACAAAGCCATCCAAATCACCATCTTGTGGATAGGCAACCTCCGCCCAGGCACGTTAGGAAATAACTTCATGATGTAGAGAGAGAGGTACAGAGGTATAAGAGAGAGCCTCTAGATCAACAGGCCTATCAAGCGGGACTGAATAGTATTCACTCTAATGCGGTCTCAGAAGCCATTGAAGGATACAGAGTGAATACTGTGCTAGGAGACCATCGCCCTCCCGTCGCAGCTGAAGAACGAGAGTTGCCCCGACAAACCCGAGTAGTTTTGGCTCAATTACGATCCGGATGGTGTAGCCGCCTAAATTCCTACTGGGCCCGGATTAACGGCGACGTGCAGAACATCTGCCCAGCATGTGGCACAGGCCCACATGACACGCTGCACCTATTTCGCTGCCCAGCCAAGCCTACTCACCAAACTCCAGTCTCGTTATGGACACAGCCCCTACAGGTTGCATCCTTTTTGAGACTGGACTTAGAGGCAGAACCTGATTGAACTGAGTCAGAAAATGGAAACCGAACGAACACAGATGTATGAGTTGCTACAACAACAACGGACAGAGCTAAATCGTCTTAGAATTTTACGCTGAATAAGAAATTATTATTTCGATGAGTTACAAACGGAATGACGAACTTAATGTACCATCCATACCATGTATGGAAAAAATGTGTTAAAATATTATATATTTTTAAAAAAAATGTTTGAAGGACACTTGTGTATTTAAAAAATTATAGTTTAATAGGCGGTCATAGTAATTATTGCGAATTTTTGTATCATTGTTATTTTTTTTTGAATTTCTTAAAGATATTATTTTAGGTACCATCCAAACTTTATAATCAATTATGTTTCAATGAGCAATAAGATTTGCCAGCATGTTCTCAAAGTTAGGCTTTATTATCAACTAAAATTTATTTGCTTTATTAAAATTTCCTCAGATAATCAAAAAATAAAAATAACTGTCATTCAGCCGTGAAAGCATAACAACCTCTGGCATCACATGTCAACATTCACGAGAAACATCAAAAATACTTTGGTCGCCCACGTCAGTTCTTATCTCTTTGCACCCACCATCAGTTAGGTGTGACCATGCATGAGTATGTTATCAGGAAAAATCAATTTATATCTAACGGGCAAAGCAAAACTAGTTTCTACATCGATTTATTACATTGAGAGCACACTTTGCCAATTAAATCTGTCTCAGTTGACAGATTAAACATGGACTGTGAATTACATGGGACACCTTGTTGCCAAAACACCATCCCCACCACCAACAACACTCATAAATAGCTGAGCTGCAACCTTTTTTATGGACTTTCTGTGTGTTACATTTTCCAATCGTGGTACCATTTTTTGGGGGGTAAAAAAATCGTCAAACCCAGATAAGACCCTAAGTAGTCTAGTTTATTTACTTTAGGCAATGCTGTTTTTTATTCCCCCGAAAGCATACATACCAACATACAGAATTTTTTTATATGGGTTGATGTAACATTCGACCTAATGGCCATAGACGGATAGTACTTCCTGGAAACATAACCATACACATTTTTTTGGAGTATTTGTAAACATGTGTGTATTTTGACATGGTGTTTTTTTTCTTTTTTGCTGTCCATGGGGTTGTTGAGTTTCGTTTATGTGTGTGTGTGGTGGTAGGGGTTGACATTTCATTGTTTCATTCAACCAAAAAATGATATGGAAAATAAAACAACAAAATTCCATGTTGTTGATATTCTGTTTGGGAAAAATTCAAAGTGATGAAATCTGTTCAAATGAAACGAAATATTTATTGTGTTAGGGTAGTTTATATCCGCTGTCATGCCATCCTTTTTTTCCGAATGAATTATTAACTACACATGACAGTGACTTTTGGGAATTGGCTTTGGTCCTATCATAACTTTTACTGAAAATAGAATTTTATTTTGATGCGAAGCTATTCAAATAAAAACAATTTTACATATATGTACAGGGTGAGATGAAAACACTGCATCCAACTTCGGACTACTGTCATTTCTAAGCCACTCGTTCAAAAGCTGTTAAAATTCCAATGACAGCTCATATTGTTTATAAGCGTACCAAATCATTTTGGTGAGAATTTTCCAAAAAAAAGTTATTCCTGATGGAATTCAAGCGTGATAGTGTGAATTCTTTATATTTGCCTAGAAAACCACAAGTGGCTATCGTTAGAGCACTCCAGCATTCAAATGTGAATAAATCTTTTGTGTCTCGTTACATCGCTTGTTACCGTAATACAGGGTTGCCTATATTCGACGGAGCCATCTGGCAACGTCATAACTTTTGACAGAGATGTCACATCGCTTAATGACATACCGCGTTTGAAGCGTCAGTCCAAGCAAATTTTTACCATGAACAAATACACTCACGCGAGCGCTCTGAAATAGTTGAAATTTACATTCAAGCAATTTTGGAACAAAAGTATCACGTCAGATGAAGCCCATTTCACATTGAATAAGACCGTAAATAAGCAAAATTGCCGTTTTTACGCAACTGAAAATCCTCAGGAGATTCAAGAAGTGCCTCTTCATGACGAAAAAGTCACAGTTTGGTGCGGCGTTAGTGCGAAAACGGTCAATGTGCCGTTTTTCTTCCAAAATGAAAATGGCCATGCTGTTACCATCAATCAGGAGCGTTATCGCGACATGATGACCAATTTTGTGATGCCAATTATTCGTCGAAAACGTATGAGGTAGTTCTGGTTTCAACAAGACGGCGCTCCACCGCACACAAGTCGCATAACAATCGATTTTATGAAGAATTTGTTTCATAGGTCCGTCGAATATGGGCAACCCTGTACTGGTGGCGTAGCCAGACTTCAAGGAAGTGGACGGAAGAAAACAGCAAATGGTTCGAAAAAGAAAGAAGCGACTTGGTCGAAACCCGCATCGCAGTGGCCGAAAAATAGCTCGTAAGCTGAACATATCGTAATATTCCATTCGGCAAATATTGAAAAATGAGCTCGGGGTAAAGTCTTTGAAATTCCAAAAAGTGCAAGAACCTACACCGCAATAGAAAGAAAATAGACTCAAAAGAGGTAAAGAGTAGGCCGAATGTGGTGAACTGCCGAATTCGGTTTTATCCGATGAGAAAACATTCGTTGTCCAGCAGTTTGTAAAGGAACAAAATTATCGTGTTTACTTGCAAAAGAGGTCAGTTGAAAATGTGCACCTACGGTTGGCTACCAGAACTCAAGCGGCCATGGTGATGGTGTGGGCCGCCATAACAGCCGATGGTCGCTCTCTGCTCGTATTAATCGATCGTGGCATCAAAATAAATGCCGAATATTATCGCGGAAACATTTTGTAGGGTGTATTATATTTTGTATTTGTAGTCGGGTCAGCTTATTCTGTGCTGCCGTTAGTCAGTACTTGGTTAAATACGAGTTTATTTCTTTACAAAATTTTATGGAAAGAACTTAAATTTGTTTCTTGATGCTGGAAATGGAGAAGAAGAAGTGGCATAGACTTCCATTTTTAAGCGAGTGTTTATATGCCTCCATCAATAAAATTTCGTTTGAAGAGCGTTTGCTAGACATGGTTTGAGGTCTTCTAGTCAGCTACATAATGCTAAGACCTAATAGTTTTCATACTGAATAGAAATTCTTCCATTGCTATTTTCTATACAACATGGTTTTATTTTACTTCATAACTCCATTGCATTATTTTAGAAACGCATTCAATGACTTATACTCAACAACCACCTGATAATAATGATTCATTGCAGTAATAGCCTACTCTCATATATGACAAATACAAAGTTCGGGAAATCTCCACAAACAATCGATCATTGTTTATTTTTTATTTATTTACTTTTTTTTTTTTTTTTTTTTTTTTTTTTTTTTTTTTGAGACGCCAGTTAGACTATCCACATGTTATCTCTTAATTTCCCAGCTACTCACCTTCGAAATGTAGCTGCACTGCCCTCGGCTAATCTTAATTTCTAAACAATTATTGGTTTATCTGAAAATAGAGAAAGGTAAAGAAAAAAAAAAACAAATGAGAATACATAGAGATAAATAAATAATTTTTAATTAAATATCTTAAGCCGTATTATATCAAAGTCAATTCAATTCAATTATCGTTATCGAGCACACATTCTCAACGTGTCATCATAGCCTTGATGGGGGTACAACAAATCAAACATAAACAAACGCCCATACAAACACACACATAGTTTTTCCCCTTTTACAGTAATAATAGCCTTAATATGTTATGCGGATAAAAAAAACTGTGGTGTATGATTATAATTATTTTTCCACTGGCATTAATCAATATCTATCAATTATTCTTATATCCAGAGAGTGGAAACAACACAGAAAAACAATAACTAGCATACAACAATTTGGTTTGATTGCCATTGTTATTGTATTGATGTGTTGATTATTTTTATTCTTGTTTTTACTTCTATTGTTATTGTATATTTTACCATACCATAATTTTTCGTATCATTGTATTGTTACATCGTAATTTGCATGGGTAATGGGCGCACTGGGCTATGCGGGATTAGAATAGCATTTTATTGTATTTTTTATTACTAACGAAGGACGAGAAGGCAGGGGTGCCTATTTGGGTTCGGAGGTCAACACTTATATTTTTTAGTTTTAATAATTTTTGGGAAAATTTTCTACGAAAGTCTAAGAGCCATCTATTCCGTCAAAAAATATTTTTAAATATTAACAAGTAAAAAAGAAGTAAGTTCGGCCGTGCCGAACTTTGAATACCCTCCACCATTTGGAACGAATTAGAAAATTTTCAAAAAATAAAATCCATTAAAAATTCTATTAAAATCTTTAAAATATCTAATATCGGAAGGTGCTTTATGGGGGGATATACGATGTTGTGGACCTATATAGACAATTACCTTTCAGGGGTTAAAGTGCTCACAAAGAACTCCTTGTGTGGATTTTCAGACAATACCATAATACCAAATCATCAAAATACCGAATATCGGGGGGTACCGTTATATGGGGGCGATACGATATCGTGGACCTATATAGATAATTCTCTTCCGAGGTATAAATTACCCACAAGGTACTCCTTATGTGGATTTTCAGACAACTCCGTTGAAAAATGTGGGTGAAATCATCAAAATTCCGAATATCGGGTGTACCCTTGTATGGGGGCTATACGATATCGTGGACCTATATAGACAATTCTCTTCCGAGGTATAAATTACCCACAAGGTACTCCTTGAGTGGATTTTCAGACCATTCCATTAGAAAATGTGGCTAAAATCATCAAAATACCGAATATCGGGGGGTACCGTTATATGGGGGCTATACAATATCGTGGACCTATATAGATAATTCTCTTCCGAGGTATAAATTGCACACAAGGTACTCCTTATGTGGATTTTCAGACAACTCCGTTGAAAAATGTGGGTAAAATCTATATCGTGGACGTATATAAATAATTAACTTCCAACGGATAACGTTCCTACTAGAAACTCCTTGTGTCGATTTTCAGACCATTCCATTAGAAAATGTGGCTAAAATCATCAAAATGCCGAATATCGGGGGGTACCGTTATATGGGGGCTATACGATATTGTGGATCTATATAGATAATTATCTTCTAAGGGATAAAGTACCTACAAGGAACTTCTTGTGTGGATTATCAGACAATTCCGTTGAAAAATGAGGCTAAAATCATCAAAATACCGAATATCGGAGGGTATCGTTATATGGGGGCTATACGATATCGTGGTCCTATATAGATAATTCTCTTTCAAGGGATAAAGTACTCATAAGGCACTTCTTGTGTGGATTAACAGACAATTCCCTTGAAAAATGTGGCTAAAATCCTCAAAATACCGAATATTGGAGGGTATAGTTATATGGGGGCTATACGATATCGTGGATCTATATAGATAATTCTCTTTCAAGGGATAAAGTACTCATAAGGCACTTCTTGTGTGGATTTTCAGATCATTCCATTAGAAAATGTGGCTAAAATCATCAAAATACCGAATATCGGGGGGTACCGTTATATGGGGGCTATACGATATCGTGGACCTATATAGATAATTCTCTTTCAAGGGATAAAGTACTCATAAGGCACTTCTTGTGTGGATTTTCAGACCATTTTCGGATTTAATTCGTTTAGACTGTAGCGTGATTACAACAGACGAACAGACGGACGGATATGGCTAAATCATCTTCGAATTTTACGCTGATCAAGAATATATATACTTTGTTGGGTCTAAAATGATTATTTCGATAAGCTACAAACAGAATGACGAACTTTATATACCCTCCATACTATGTATGGTGGAAGGTACAAAAAATTATGGCTCAGAAGAATTAAGAACATATTGTCTTAAATACCTAATTCCAAACAAATGTTACAAAAAATTTTAGACAAATTTGTTAGAAAATGTGGCTTCAATAGTCAAAATCCCGAAGATCCGAAGTAATCGTTATATGAGTATGGGGGTGCTATAGTAAAACGTAAATATAAACAGACTATGTTTTGCCACCAGAGGTAGAACCCGCTGTTAATACAATATTCAAAACTATATCTTAAAAATATTATTAAAATATCGAATATTAGGGGGTCCAACGAATGGCAAACAAGAGGTTGTCACCATCCACATTGCCGTAGGACAGTGATAAGAAGTTGGAAAGTTTCATTCGATGTCCCGACATATGTACCCTAATCATTTGACCATTTTAGTCATGTCGGATTTTACATCGAACACTGATTTCACATTTTGAGGGAGTTATTATTCAAAATTTTGACCTTTTATGGGGGAGGCACGAGAAAATATGAAGATTTTGGATCGTGGATTTTTTTTTCTTTTTTGATGAAAGTCTTTTTCCTTGGTTTAAGAGAAGGGGAGTGGTCATCATTTTGCGTTCTAAAATAAAAAAAAATTGTTTTTGTAATACAATTTCATGAGAGGTGTGACATCGTCCCTCATATCGATATTATGCGGTTTTATATTTTTATACCCTCCATCATAATATGCGGGGTATATTAAGTATGTCATTCCGATATATACATTTTAGACCCAAAGTATATTTATATACATGTAGGTCTACGTTTTGGTACCTCCCAATATTCCACATTTTGATGATTTTAGCGACAATATTTACCAGAATTGTTTCAAATTTGAAGTTCGTAATGGATATTACACACATCTTCGTGTAGCCCCCATATAATGGTACCTCCCGGTAATCGGTATTTTGATTATTTTAGCTACATTATTCACCGAAATTTTTAAGTTTCGCATTTGAATATTGTAATGGCTTATGACAAAATTTGCCCAAATAACGGCTACATTCGGTATTGTTAAATTTTAACAGAATTTTTCATGGCTTTTATTTATTTATTAATTTATTTATTTTTTTTTTGAAATTTGTAAAATTCATTCCAAATGGTGAAGGTCATTCAAAGTTCGGCCCGGCCGAACTTACCTGTTTAACGTAGATACATGGTATAATGCGAAATGCGTTTATTTCAACACCCTCTGCCATATGGCTTCATAAATATATAACATTTCAGAGGTACCATATCGAAATAATGGACGAAATTCTATCACATCAATATATTTGAACCATCCTTAAGTCGGATGAGGATATGGTACCTACCACACAAAGGGTTTCTGTACCTTATTATTTTTACCAATTTTATATCTAATTTAAGGATGGAATTCGTTGGTCCACTCGCCTAGTTCCTCTCAGAAACTTTATCGCAAATTTTTGTGGCCGTCCTCACCCGGCTATAGCCTTTATTTACTTGTTGTAATGCTGGAAATCCGTTCCCGGCGAAATAAAATATACAAGCGTTGACCATGACATTGAAATGTATTTAGTTTATGTTTTATATTCAGATATCGGAGGCATAGCTACATATACGAGAATTTCCCAATATTGTTTTCAGACAATAAGCACGATAGATGGAGTCGAGATGCCTCAAGTTTTGCATAGCCTTAAAGATCCGAGCTAGAATTATGGTAAACTTTTGATATTTGAATGAATTGCTGAATTGAGAACAAAGAAACTTAACTTCAAATTGCAGTAGTGCGTTTCATAAGGTCCCGAATTAAGCTGTTTCGTACTTTTTTAAAGCACACGAAGTAAAAGACAAATTTCTTGTTTAATTTCGAATATTCGTTACAAGAGAATGTGTTCTTATGTATACATGCTAGTTTTTGTTTCAGTAGCAATTTTAGGCATACTATTTGCAAGCCGTGAACTTCAATGCAAATGTATGTTCGTCATGAACATGCATTCGTGGTTTTGAGCGAAGGGCAGGCAAATGCCAACATTCATGTGGAAACCAAACAAGCGTAAAGTGAAAGTGATAAAAAAGGACGAACAGACCTTAGTTGGCGGAAAACTAGCAAATCTATACATTCTATAGAATGCATACGGTTTGATGATGCGGCAATTTTCGTTCCAATTGTTGGGAATTGGAGCTTGCGTTATTAGCCAATTTAAAAATATAGAAACATGTATGTCTGTGCATGAACGAATGACTGTGCAATTTACTGTTATTTTTAAAATTGGCGATGATTTTCAAGGTGAATATGATTTAGTAGGTATATTTGCCCAACTTTTGATAAATTAGTTGTAGGCATGAAATAAAAAGCAAAAATCGACCTTTTCAAAATGAAAATTTGATTCAATGCGGGGTGTAGAACTAAAAAATCTGATTTGTTTTATTTTTGCAATTTATTTGTATACCCCCACCATTCTATGGAGGGTATATTAGATTTGTCATTCCGTTTGTAACTCCTCGAAATATTCATAATAGACCCTACGAAGTATATATATTCTGAATCAGCGTAAAATTCTAAAATGATTTAGCCGAGTCCGTTCGTCTGCTGTAAGCACGCTACAGTCAAAACGAATAAAGATAGAAAGCTACAATTTTGCACAGATCTGTGTTTTGTCTGCAGGCCGGTCAAGTTCGAAGATGGGTTATATCAGTCCACAATATCGTCTAGGCCCCATA